AGTGGCTGGGATTACAGGCATGAGCCACCACACCTGGCCAGGACTTTTCTACTTTGCATATCAGTCTTTTCCCAAGCACCCATGACAGTGCCTGGAATATAGTTGGTGGTCAATATTTTTAAAAAGAATAAACCAATAAAAAAGAAATATGCATAACTGCCACAATTGTTTCCAAAGAAATAGACCATTCAATCTGGCAATCTCACTACTGGGCATCTACTCAAAGGAAAAGAAGTCACTATATGAAACAGACAGATGCACATGCGTGTTTATAGCAGCACAACTGGCAGTTGTGAAGATATGAAACCAATCCAAGTGCCCATCAATCAATGAAGGGATAAAGAAAACGTGGTGGATATACACGATAGAATATTACTCAGCCATAAAAAGGAATGAAAAAATGTCTTTTGTAGCAACTTGGATGGAGGGGGAGGCCATTATTCTAAGTGAAGTAACTTAGGGATGGAAAACCAAATATCCTTATGTTCTTACTTATAAGTGGGAGCTAAGCTATGAGGACGCAGAGGCATAAGAATGATATAATGGACTTCAGGGACTTGTGAGGGGAAGATTGGGGGTGGTGTGGGATAATAGTCTACATACTGGGTAGAATGTTCACTGCTCAGGTGACAGGTGCAGTAAAATCTCTGAAATCACCACTAAAAAACTTATCCATGTAACCAAAACCACCTGTACGCCCAAAACAATTGAAATTCAATAAAGAAATAGAACAGAAAAAGTATTCAATTGAAGCAACAAGACAAGAAATGAGAGAAAAATAAATAACAACAAAAAAACATGATGAAAAAATAAAAAGCACAAATAATGGCCAGGCACGGTGGCTCATGCCTGTAGTCCCAGCACCTTGGGAGGCCAAGGCAGGCAGATCTCGAGGTCAGGAGATCGAGACCATCCTGGCCAACATGGTGAAACCCCATGTCTACTAAAAATACAAAATATAGCTGGGCGTGGTGGCACGCACCTGGAGGGAGGTGGAGGCAGGAGAATCACTTGAACCCAGGAGGTGGAAGTTGCTGTGAGCAGAGATCGTATCACTGGACTCCAGCCTGGCAAGAGAGGGACACTCTGTCTCAGAAAACAAAAAGCACAAATAGTATAGTAGAAATGAATCCAAATTAAACACCAATTATAATTCACATTAATATGCTAAAAGTTTCAGCAAAGCGACAATGATTTTAGAGAGAAATTACTAAAAGAAAATAATTATAAGCTGTCTATTTTTATTTTATTTATTTATTTTTGAGACAGAGTCTAGCTCTGTTGCTCAGGCTGAATTGCGATGGCATGATCTTGGCTTACTGCAACCTCTGCCTCCCAGGTTCAAGCAATTCTCCTGCCTCAGCCTCCAGAGTAGCTGGGACTACATTCATGAACCACCATGCCCAGCTAGTTCTTGTCTTTCTTTTCAGTAGAGACAAAGTTTCACCATGTTGGCCAGGGTGGTCTCAAACTCCTGATGTCAGGTGATCCTTCCACCTTGGTCTCCCAAAGTGCTGGAATTACAAGCGTGATCCACCACGCCTGGCTGCAGTAACTCTTTTTTAAAGGCATCTAAAATATACAGGATCCAGAAAGGTTGAAAGTAAAAAGAATAGAAAAAGATAAACCATCCGAACACTAACCAGAAGAAACCTATTAATAGTAAGCAAAATAGATCTTATGGCAACAAAACCCCCAAAACTGGTAAGACAGGGTGCTTTATTTTTGTTTTGAGATAGAGTTTCACTCTTATTGCCTAGGCTGGAGTGCAATGGCACGATCTCGGCTCACTGCAACCTTTGCCTCCCAGGTTTAAGCAGTTCTCCTTCCTCAGCCTTCCCAGTAGCTGGGATTACAGGCATGTGCCACCATGTCCAGCTAATTTTGTATTTTTTAGTAGAGCCAGGCTTTCTCCATTGGTCAGGCTGGTCTCAAACTCCCGACCTCAGATGATCCACACACCTCGGCCTCTCAAAGTGCTGGGATTACAGGCGTGAGCCACCGAGCCCGGTGCTTTTTTATATTTTCTTTTTAAAATTTTTATTTTATTGTAAATTGACATTATAATTGTATATATTTGTAGTACATGAAGTGATGTTATGATTTATGAATACAATATAGTTATCACAAATCAAACTAATTAGCATATCCATTCCCTCAGATGCTTTCCTTTTTTGTAGTTAGAGCATTTAAAATGTACCATCTGAGCAACTTTGAAATGTACAGTACACTTATTAACTATATTCACCGTGCTGTGTAATAGATCTCCAAGGAAAACCTTATTCCTCCCATCTGAGATTTGGTACCCTTTGACCAACATCTCCTCAAGTCCCCCAACCCAGCCTCTAGTAATCACCATCCTATTCCATTCTGCTTCTAGGAATCCAAGTGATTTAGATTCCACCTGTAAGGGAAGATATGCAGCTTTTGTCTTTCTGTCCCTGCCTTTTTTGGAGGTTTCTCAAAAAAAAACTAAAAATAGACTAAATATAAGCCAGAGATTCCACTTTGGGGTATTTATCCAAAATAGCTGAACTAGGTATGTAGAAAAGATGTCTGCACTGCTGTGCTCATTGCAGCATCATTCACAATAGCCAACTTACAGAATCAACCTAAATGTCCATTAACGAATGAATGGATAAAGTGACATGGCACACAGTGGTATACATGCAAAATAGAATACTATAGAGCTTTAAAATAGAAGGAAATTCTGTTTGTAACGACATGGATGAAGTTGGAGGGGGTTTCTTATTAAGTTCCAGTTAACTAAGAAGATATAACAATTTAAAACTTTTATGCATCTTTTGCAACTTCTACATTATGGCTGTGAATGTATTTTTAAAAGTTGACATAACTAAGAATATATACATCTCTCAGGAGATGATAGTATGAAAAAATTTATAATGATAGAGAAGACCTGAATATGACAGTTAACAATTTGGTCAAATATATACACATGTAACACCAGACCCAACAGCGGTGGAAGTCAAATTATTTTCAGGCACACAATGACATTTACAGAAATTGACCACACACTAGGCCATAAAGCAAGTCCCTATATTTTCAAAAGACTGAAACCATACAAAACATTTTCTTTGAGTATAATATCATTATATCGGCTGGGTGCGGTGGCTCACGCCTGTAATCCCAGCACTTTGGGAGGCCGAGGTGGGTGGATCACAAGGTCAGGAGTTCAAGACCAGACTGGCCAACATGGTGAAACCCCGTCTCTACTAAAAAATACAAAAATTAGCTGGGCATGGTGGCTCATGCCTGTAATCCCAGCTACTTGGGAGGCTGGGGCAGGAGAATTGCTTGAACCGGGACCTGAGAGGTGGAGGTTGCAGTGAGCCGAGATCACGCCA